CGTATTTACGTTTCAGCGGATCCAGTTTCGCGATTATTAAAATTAGCAATTCACAACGGCCGGAATGTAAATTACACGGTCCTCATTAAGCCGAGCGTGCAACTAATCAATTTATATACCCGCGTTTAATCCGCGTTTCTCCCCCCTCCCCCCACCTCAAACGCGATTATTCACGCTAGATGGGATCTTACAGAGCAAATTAAAAATCCGTATTAAAGCGGATTCGCATCCACTTAGCAACGTTATAGAGTTAATGCCGCGCATTATACGATTTTCCGGAGAGTACATACTTGCGTCCGAGGAAGGACACAAGCTCGCATTACATTGACCTATCGGAAAAGAATCGTTGTATCGCTAGTATTAGCGTTGCATTACACGGTACGCTACATTTGCAATGTTTAACATTGAAAAAAAAAAAAAACGTGCGCGATGATTTTTTTTACTAGAAAATAAATCGGCACAAGCACGTATACACAGTAGAGATTGCCACTTACGTGCGCTCTGTTACTAGTCGAAGAGTTAAGTAAAGAAGCTTGAGTGACCAGAGGGTCGAGAAACCCGTTTAGAGAGAGATTCAGTTGCTTCTTGGATTGATACGATATCCTAACCGGATGAGGGACAGTCGTTTTGCGGAGATTTGCCGAAGAGGAGGACAAATCTAAACGCGAATCCGAAGCGATTGATATCACGAGAAAAGCCCCGAAGGCAAAGTAGTGGAAATATGACGGCGGAAGGTTGTACCTATTCTCCTTCTCTCTTTTCCTCTTTTCTCTCCCGAAGCTTTATTCAGCCTGGAAGGTCCAATGAATGGGAGCTTCTACGAGCTTCACGAGCTCACCTCTTCAGAACGTCTACGAACATCGGCAGGACTCTTTTCCTTTTTCTACTTCCCCGTCGCGCCTTCGAGAGAAAGAGAAATTCCCGCCCTTTCCACGTCACCTTCCTTTTTTCCTCGCTCTTCGATTCTTCGAACCCGCGGATTTTGCAAGCATCGAGAAATAGTGATTCTCTGAAGCGTCGCTTTCTTTGCGGCGAGATTAATTTGCGTGATTTTTGCGAACATATATTATAAAGAAGTAATCGATTAAGAAAAAGCAGGTGTGCACGCATTAGTATAAATTAAAAATATGTCATATGACTTGAAAAAAAGATGCAAACATATATAGTACATACATGTTTTGAAAGTCTATTTTAAGTTACTAAACCGCTATAAAGCAAAGGATTTTGCGCGTCGCGAAACAAGCTCTGAAAGATACGCGAAAGGGATTATGCTGCAAAAAAATAGAATGTTGTTAAAAGGGAAAGAAGCGTTGAGACAAAGAGAGAGAGAGAGAAACGGGAGACTAGGTTGGAAAAGCACCTGCTGTATCGCACGCTCGCAATGATAGCGAGCAGATGATGTACGTCGGTCAGCGTGTTTCACGGGAAGAAAGATGAAAACACACCCTCCCGGATTGTAAGAAGATGCTTTCCTATATATTCTTTCTTAGCCGCGTTCCCCTTCCATGTCTGCGAGAGGGATCGACTTTTTTCTTGCTCCTAACAGATTTCGCGCCGGGCACAGCGCGGGTTCGATTTCCTCTCTGATAAATCGCACCCTCCAGACCCTTTTTCCCAAACGCCAATTTATATTAAGTAAGAGGCATATGTGTTATGGCAGAGTCGTTCCGAAATATATACCGTGGGTCGCGTTGGGGAGAAATTGCTCCGGCCGGGCGCAATTCCGCAACCGAGAGGGAAAGGTCCCAAAGCTATTCTCGCCCGTATGTTTAGAAAGGAGACCCACAAATTGCGATTCACCTTGTGGATACAAAACATAATTTTGCGACATTTTTTTCAAAATATTTCTCGGAGAAACTCTGTTTTACGAGATAAGAAGCAAATTATCTCAATTATATGATTTTAATGAATTTTAACTTTTATTCAATGTTAATTTTATTTAATTTTATGTAAAATTTTTCTCCAATAATTTCAATCTTGTTACGCGTTACATAAATCGATTAGCAGCGTGATTTCATTAGTAGACAAATCACGGGTATTTTTTTTCTATTATAACTTTATTATAATATATCGCGCCGTTTTAAATACGATGATGTAGCGAGACTTTGCCGCAGCTATTCTGCGATATTTCTCGCAGTATTTTTTCGCGCGCCGCGTAAACGTTGCGTCTTCAGCTGGCGCGTAAAATAAATGTGTACATACTCGGCAATGGCTAATAAATTTCCTAGAGTTTTTCTCGTCGCGTGAAAGACTTTTCGTCGGAAAAGTTAAGCGCGTGCATTTTCAAAGGCGGCAAGCTGGAAAGGCTTTGGCTTTGTCATCGAATCCGTTCTCGCGATGTCATGAGTAAATATATACGCAAAAAGCACACCCTCTCGTGAAAAACACGTTACATTAACGATCGTCGATTTTGCACGCCGTGAAAAATGTCGAGTATGACGCAGAGCATGATTATTTTCGTTTTCCCGAATGCTCTGTATAACAACAGCATTCGTTGCTTGGAAATTTTATGACAAGAAAGAGAAAGATGATGTATAAGTGTTTGCATATATAAACATATATAATTTCTACGAAAAATAATAAAATATCAAAGAGCGCGGCAAAAAATTGCTGTCTGTAATGGACATTTCATAATGATTAAAATTCATTTCGCGTAACGATGATATTTTAGACTCGTATTCGGCTGTTAAAAATCGGACTAGTTGGTTTCTCCCGCCTCGCCGGTTGTTTTAACGAGGCTATTGAGATCGCCTTGACATTTTTAAATAGCATTGTTTGTCACAATAAAAAATAAGGGTAAAATTAAAGAAAAAAGTAACGCGATTCGTTCGTCTCGCCGATTTATACCGCGTTTATATATAATATATAAAAAAAAAGAGAGCTTCGAAGAGAGAATTCTGTTATTTCGCTTTTACCTGAAAAATACCAACGCGGTCTAATGCGAAAACGCCTACATCGCGCTATCAAACTATTAATCAAATCGTATCGACATTTTTCGGATGATGCAAAAACTCGCCGATTCAGTTAAACAGGGATTTCGGTAAATTCCGCGGAAAATGAAAGCGGAGCGCTTTATATACGTATCTCGCCCACAGAGCTCGCCTCTGTTTGCTACATACATACATACGAAAATGATTAACGACGCCCGGGGAGGAACGAGGTCGAACTTTTGGACTACATCCGGTGGTGCACGTGCAACCGAGTGATCCGAGACATGGCCGTGTCTCCCGGTGCGGTTTTCAAACACGCCGTCGTCGTCGTCGTCGTCGTTTGCGTTCCAGAAATTTCACTATTTTTTCGTGTCGTCGTCGAAACGACGTGTGACGACGTAGGGCATACGTGACGAGAGCAGGTGCGCGAGAAAAGTGTCGCTCTTTCTCCGTACCGGAAGCTTGCAAGCCCGTAAAACGGCTGTCGCCCGCGCAAAATATTAATTAAGGTACGTTACGTCGCTAAAAGCTGCATCTTACGACGTCCCATTTTTCCTCTCTCTTGTGAAAATAATATGTTGCTCTTTTCATTTCTGATAGATCGCGCGAATTTTTAATCTCTAGTTATATGTATGTTCGAGGAATTAAAACGAATATAAATGTTGAAGAAAAATATTGAAATACGAAAGATTTTTATCGACTATTTATATTCGATCAAACGTACAATTTCATATTTGAATCAAGGTACCTCGTTAAAAGGTCATATCTTACGTCACACTTTCCTCTCCCTTGCGAAAATGTTGCTCTTTTAATTCCCGAATACGCGAATCGTTTAATCTCTATATTCGTGAAATTAAAATAAATATCCAAACAAATATCGATACGAGAAATTTATCGACTTTTTATATTCGACAAAATGTACAGTTCACACTCCTGAACCGACTATTAATTTCAGCGGGACATAAATACAGTGTGCTCTTAATGGCATTCACAAAATAATCTATACTTTCCCGCGATCCCGTAAAGTAGATCGATTAATAATCGTCAGACTATCGGGAGAGGGATTTATTTTCTCTCTACTTTTTGATGCGATGCGCGCAAGGGTTGTGCCGAAAATTAATTTTTCCCGTAGAGATACACGTCGATATAATTTCTCTTCGTCTATCGGCAGTCGATTATCTCGCGACACACATACAAACATACACGAGACTAATTAATATTTGTCATATCTCTCGTTGACGCGCGTCGTTACGCGCGAAGGATAATAATCGGCCGCCGTGAAAAATTAAGTTTCCCGAGTTCGTTCACCTGACAGTTTTTGTCGTTTCGTCAAAAATCTCTACAAACAACGATTTAGCGTTAGTCGACTTGGTTCGAAAAAAAAAAAATAAATATAAATAAAAAAATAGAAAAAGTCTCTTTGATGGACAGCCATACGTTCGTCGCGATGGGAAAACCGGAAGGAACGCGAGAACTCTTCGGGGAACGCGAAAGCGACCGATCAGATTTCAATGGACGCATTTCAATCGGGGTCACTGCATACGAATTTCTCTTTGGTATGCGATGATTTATGGTTCGTTGCGCGTTCTGGTTGCGGTCGGTTCGCCGTGAGGCGACTCGAGGGAGGAGAGAGTGAGAGAAAGAAGAGTGAGGGAGAGAAAAGCTCTCCCAAAAAGCTCCGCGCACGACCGCTCTCCACCATCGTGGTGAAATGGACGGACCGAGAAGGAAGTTATCGACGTTCCTTGTATTTTATTCCGTCGTACCACGTGTATTATTGCCGTCGCCGAAATCGAAAAGAGGGATTTTTCTTTCGGGAAGAGAGACGCGATATATAAAATACGAATTTGCGCGACTATATTGCGAGAGCATTTCGAGAAATGTTGTTACAAGTGTTTATATATATCTGTGTGTCTATATAACTAAATTCGATGATAAATAAATAGTAGATTTTTCCCTTTCAATAAACTAAAGTAAAAATTCTTAAATCTCGTAAAATCCATTTATTATCGCGCAAAGATTATCGGGGAGACCAACTCTGTTCAACATTGAATTAATAAAAGCACTCACCTTCTTGGCGTCATTGTTGTTGTCGGCCGCGTGATGAGGTTGCGGACTCATTGAAGCACCATTGCTGACTGCCCCGCTTTGCGACAGAAGCTCGTCGCTACCCCTCTGTAACAATAAAATACATTCGTGTGATATAAATAGCTCCTTCAGACCAGTTTGAGTTCGAGTTCTCGATAAATTCTACTTTGCAACGACGTGCACTTCGCGTCTGTATACACAATGATGTAATTCAGAATTACACTGCAAACCGCCGTTCGCATAAATCTACATTACGCAAACGATCTTCGACGTATCGGAAGATATCTTTGGAGCGCGGATATAGTGATATGTTATCGCAATGCGAGGAAAAATGAGAGAAAAAAATTGTAAAATATTTATAAATCAAATTGAGTTTCGTTTCGCAAAATACTAATCGCGCCGACATTTCCGATTTTATCCCCAAAGCTTTTGAGAGCGGAATTGAAATAAATTATCGCGTCGAGCATCTCTCGATTACTTAAGGAACGGAAAGAAGCATTGCAAATCTTCCCATTTGACGTTACGTCTTTAGAACGTTGATAAATCTCAAACTTGGCGTCAAAAGAAATCAGGATCAGGAAGCGTGCTATACAGCAGGGTGAGATGCTTTTAAACGCGAGTCTGAATCTAAATGCTTAACGGGGTCTTCTCAGAAACGGAAGAAGGTTGCGGTCAGTCAAGCGAGGAGAAAACTCTCTTTCTCTCTCGCGAGATATTAATAATTAATCCCTATGCTCCTTTGCGAAGCAACATCTACAAAGAACATCCTCCTTCGACTCATCTCTTAAGATCGTTAATCGGCCTTCTGTGCACAATTATTGTAAAGAAAGATTTACGGAGGCAAAAATGAGTGAAAACCGAGCACTATGACATTTACGATGTTTCGAAGCAATCAACTATAAGTTTAATAGATTTTGCACATACACGTCATTATCTATCTCTGCCGTTTATTTCAAAAATTTAAAATATTCGCTCGTCGTTTATTTATATGATTATACGACGAAAATTCGCCTTTTCGCGATTAGATCTTCGTCTCTTATACAGTCGCGGTTTTCTCTCGTCGTTCAAACAGAAACACGTCGCGTGCATCGCGAAAGAGCTTAACGAAATATTTATTTCGGACCGTCACTGCATTTATTCGCGAATTATGGGTTACATTATGCAGTCGCGGTCGGAGACGTTCCTGTTAAATCTGCAGGTGAGCTTTGACAGAGGAGGCCTTCACTGTGACGCGTTCGCATGGCCAAACGCGGAAGATAACTCATAACTCGTAAGGAAAACCACCCATCGCTGGGGACTCTCGAAACGGAATGCGAGATCAAAGACGGAAAAGACGAGCGAACGAAGCGGAAGGAAGCACGGCGTGCGGATTCGCGACCGCGGTCACTCTTCTCGGATCGTAGAACAAGAAAGCTCCGAGGACTTTATTATCCTTTGAGAAGATGCTGCGCCATCAATCTAAATCATTTACATCCATTCATTTACGCGAAGCATCGATATTTTATTTTATTTTATTTTTGTTAGCTATTTATGAATATTTCTCTTGCATCTTTCGAGCATGAAAATAATAAAGCTTTCAATCTCCGTTTTACGAAGAGGCACGCATCACTTATTACTAGTAAATTCAACGAAAATGTTATGGTTCTTCAGTTTAACGATGCTTTTCATGCAGGGCAGTATCGTGTAAAATACGTTTAGAAACATACATTCTGCGTATCTACTCGCCCACGTATACGATACAGGGAGAAAAAGTCGCAAATGTTTATTTCTAACTCGAAAAATAAAAGGAAGTGGAAGAGATCATCTGGCGAAAGTGCAATTAGAGGGACGCTTTATCTGCGATGACGCACATTTCGTACGCAATTTATCTGTCGAAAGTACATCGCAAACGTTCTCAGAACATCGAATGCGCACTGTTAGACGGAATATCGTTCAAAGAGCGATAAGAAGGAAAACAGATACAAAACAAATTCTATATATATATATATATATATCTCCGCGATCACAGAGAGAAGAGAGAGAGAGAAGGAGGAGGAGAAAACTTGGTGGGTGGAGACGAGTCAGGGAAAGGAACTCGGATCTCGTATATTTTCCTCGAATATGGGGGATAGAAGTTCATCCTCTGACCAATGTACGGCGGTCCTGGTGCTCGTGTATTATTTATTTCCCGCGAATGTATGGATTATGGTCCGGCCACTCTCCTTCCCTCCCTCTCGCCCCTCGAAGCCCCGTAACTCTCACGGATTCACGAACACTCTCCTCCTGGTCTCTCTTTCTCTGTCTTTCGCAGTCTCTTCGATTCTCCACCCCTGGAGAAACATCTCCCGTCTGTTCTTCGCGGGTCGCGAAGTTGTTTTCTCTCGATTGTCGAGAACTCGCCGAGATCTTAAATCCAGGAAGCGAGAGCCCTGTTCTCCTTTTCTCTTCTCTCGTCCTTCCCACTTCCGCCGAAAGACCAATCTTCCGTGCGATCCGCGTTTTACGTGCCCGACGATCCGCACGGAATTGTCTCAAGATCGTCCATGAGAGTCAGAGTATGCTGGAGAACGACGGAGCTTCGCTCGGATGACAAACCAATCTCACGCGCCGTCTGCGGAACCCGATGAAGCTCTCTCTCGGTCGCGGATGCCGTCGAGGAAGAAAACTCGGCGACACGCTCGATCGAGTTCGCGTCTGCGGATCACCAATCTGCTATGGGACGAATAAACGTCGAAGATCTCGTAGGTGTCTCAAATCGTAATCGAGAGGTGTAGCGAGAGAAGAAATCTATATTCGTCTCCTTCGTAGTTTCATTTTATTTTATTTAGATTTTTCTGTATATTTATTATCCAAATTGAAATAATAAATGCGATAAAAAAGATAGACATTAGCGATAGAGTTTACAGCGCAATTCGCGATCGAAATCTGGACTTTAAAGTCGCTACCGGAAGCAATTTTAGACGCGATCCCGTTATCTCCTAGCATGGTCACTCGCCGTTTACGAGCCGGCGATTGCCTATCCTTGGATAGGTAGGTCAATTTTCTCACACGACGACGACGTCGACGACGATGGTGGCGAGCGTCGGAAGGATGCGAAACACGCGATGTAACGCCACTAAAATAATATTGGCCGAAGATAGTTCGCGGTGATAGGCTGCCAAGGAAACGAGGACGCGGAAGACCATTATTGCTTTTCGAGATGGATGGCTTCTGGATACGCGTTCTCTCTCGTCCGGAACCGGCCAAAACTTCACCTCGAGAGATTACGAAGATTTCAGAGGATCGTTTCGTTTTATGGGACATAAGGATTATATGTGTGTACGAGTCCTATTCCGGTTTATTACCCAGATATAACCCATATTCCCGCGGTGTGATGAACCAAGTTTTGTCTCCTCTCCCGCAAAATTGACAGCCACGCGAGGAGTAGTCGTTATTAATATCACCTGACGCAAATTTATCAACAATTGATCGGTATCGCGCACCTGCGACCGCGGATCATCGTTATACAATAAAGACCGAATACTGTCAATAAAGGATGTCTATGAGGAATAAACGTCAATTCGTTTCATTGACGCTTCGATCGGAAACTCGTCGCGAAGAAATGCTCGATTATTAAAATAACTCTTGTAAAAAACGTGACGATACAATTAATCATGCGATAGCAATAATATTCGAGAAATTAATATTGTCGATAAATTGTAAGAAAAAGCATTATTCACCTGCTTAAATTGAGTTTCTCAATCTTTCGTAATTATTTAATTCTCGATAAAAAGTTTCTCCTCTCGTATCGGCAGAAATTTAATCGAATGCAATAAACGACAAAAATGAATCAATGATATCCAAAATATATAATGATTAATAAGGTAAGTCTGTATATGGCTTGTACCACCGACTTGTCTACAAGCCGGATAATTCGACGAGAGAGGAAGTTTTGCGTCGAGTCGTGTTTCTCGTCGAAACTCTCCTCTACAGCAAATGACGTGGAAAGAGGGCAGAAATTAAAGCCGCTCGTTAGGGTGGAACTCGCTTTTACTGCGATCGTCGTGCTTCGACATCATTCAACCGTGAACGCAGAGGATGGAACGGAGGATCCGATATTCGAAACACACAAAGAACCGCGAAAGTGGATCGCGTCTTCTTTTTCGTGAATCGCGTTGGAATTTCGCGAACTCGTCGAGTCAAGCGGCAGACGGGAAACCAGATTATCGCTCGGGATAATCGTCCTACTTACGTGGTTTAAATAAGCAAAATAAAAAATTTCTGGGAAAATATGTAAATATATGTACATACACGTACACAGATTGACAAATCTCTTTTAATTAAACGTTAATCTGGAATTAATTACATAATGCGATTTCTTAATTCTTTATAGGTACTCAATTTGCGACGAGAACCTCCGAATCTTAATCGCTTATATTAATATAGAAAACCTTGCGTTGAAAAAAAGTCGGAATATAATTTAATCGATCGCGGAAAGCTCGGATGAAAGGGATGTCGGTGATTCTAGGACACATCGTATTATGCGCGCTCTCGCGAATAAAAATTCGCTCGGCTCAACGAACGGAAAGGTTAATCTAATGCTCGTGAATAAGAGTGGCCGTATTGAAAAGTTCGGCATAATATGGTGCCGATCGTGATTATCAATAGGACGCTCGCTAACACTATCATCATTAGTGTTCCCTTTCGCGCGCGGTCTGCTAATGAAGTCGACGCGAGGATTTTGCTTTAATTAGCGCGTACAGCCAGAGGATTTCATTTGCATCTTGCGGTCGCGAGAAATCTTGGTGCGTTCCCATCGATCTAACGCGAAATTGATAAATCGTGCTGGCGCGAGAAACGCGGTAAACTTGTGCGAAAAGGCATCTTTTTCTTCCTTTTCTCAACAACAAAACAAACCACGCGCTAATTGGTGATCATTAATTTTGATGGATATATCATGAATTACGAAACGATCCTAGACTAGAATAACGCAAGGCTCGCCAAGTCCGAAGAAGCATTATGCGCTGGTAATTTACGAGTAGTTCGCCTTGCGTTGTTCTCAGACTGATGTGAATCGCCCCGCAAAGAAGCTGCTCCCAAAGTACAATATAACAAAGGCCCGAGATATC